TTAGTCTTCCGATGATTTAAGTAATTAGGTTCTTTTTTCAGACCAAGAGTTTGTTTTCATACCTGACAGTTTTGCTGAAAGAGAAGAGAGAATTCAGCTGACTCACTTCTCCTTTCTGTTGTTCCTTCTAACATCCTTATAATCTAGCCACTAAATCATGGGTACATTTTCTTTGCACTAATGGGAAATTTTTGATAATTTTTGGCAATATGATACAATTTGAGTAAAATGTTAAATTAATTACTTCTGTGACTCATTACAAACTAAGTACTAAAGTGTTTATTTCTGCTGTTTATTAATTGCAGCTCATGTTTTGTTTTCTAGTATTGTACATTTAGAAAAGTTTTGTGGTTTAAATCTCCTCTTGGGTTATTACCGTTTATCTTCTATTTACCTCAGCAATATTTCACACTTCAAAATTTGTTATCGTGACAGACCTATACTTTAGAACTCTCCAGGTAAAGGAAAAACATCTCCATGGCAGAAGCGTCTTATTTTGGAGTGAATGAAGACATGAAATTGGAAAGTGATTTTGATGTTCCTAAAAAAGTGCTAAATTGCATTACTGTCAATTTGGGGTGGGATGAGACAAAAAAAAAAAAAAAAAAACAAAAAAAAAAATGAATAAATTGTGCAGTTCAGTTTTTTTTCGATAATTTTTGTTTATTTTATATTTTTGCACACATTGTAGCACATGTTTTTGGAACTACAGCTTCTCAAGAGGTGTAATTCAGCAAACCTTAACCTTTTTCAAGCTAAAAATAAACAAATAACCACTGGGGGGCAGTAGTGAACACAGCTCAATAGTGAAAGCTAAACTTTTTAAAACTGACTAGATAATAAATACCTCTATTACATAATTTTCTTAACTCCTTTGCAACAGATGTGTTCTAAAAACTGCTGTGGGTGCCTCTGTGTTTGTTTATTTGTTATTCTATTTTGCCTGTTTTGGTCAATTCTCAAACTGGCTTTTAGCACCCTCTGGTGGTTACTTAAGAGGACAACCGTGACATTAGAAACATTTGAAAGCATAAATGCAGTGACATTACAATGTTTGGAATGCACAGATCTGTTTACGTACAAAAGTGGAGTATGAATGAGCCTCTTCTTCTAAATGTTGTGTTTTTTTCTCAGTTTGCAGGACGGCGGTGCAGGCAGACCTAGTTTTCCTGGTGGATGAATCTTGGAGCGTTGGTCAGACCAGTTTCTCCACACTCAAACACTTCATCTCGTCTGTGGTGTCGTACTTCCCTGATCATGTGGTGGGCTCTGAAGGGGTCCGCTTTGGGGTCACTGTGTTTGGAGATATACCCAGGTACATTCAAATGCATTAAAGCTGCACTGTATAACTTTTCTTGGGGGGTCCACTATCTGCTTGTCTTTATAGAGGTAGGTTTAGTCATAAAAAAGTGCATCTTGTTCAGTGAATATTCTTTTAATGGTCCTATATTATGCAAAACTGACTCTTGTGAGCTTTAAGTCATGTTATAATGTTGTTACGTCATCAAAAACATACCAGGAATTGTATTTTGTTTCATTCATATTTGTTTGAGGCTTTATTATCAGTCTGTCTACATCTCCAAAGCTCAAAATGCTCTGTTCTTCTTGATGATGTCATAACCTTGTAGTATTCAAGGTAACAGCTGCCTTTTAAATTTTGTTTATTGGAGATTGGCAATTCCATGATTCTGAAAGTTCCTTATTTGAAAATGATTTCTATTTGAGAAAAGTGCAAGTGTGTCTTAAACATGAATGTTGTTTTAAACATTTATTTAACATAAAGTCAAATGTGATTTTTTGAAAAACTAATGTGTACTGTTGTGGTTCCAGGATGCAGATCGCTTTGACAGACTACAGCACACAGGAGGAGACCCTTAAAGCCGTCAGAGACCTCACGTATGAGGGAGGGTCCAGGAAGTTGGGCGTGGCTCTGAGATACCTGGTGGAGAATGTGTTCAGTTCAGCCATCAGCCGAGACCACGCACCCAAGGTAAAGTTTAGAGAGATTTATGTGGTTCGACATTATGGGACTGTGCTTTAATGGTGCTTTCTAGGCAACTGGTAACTGGAAAAATGCCTTGGAACACTGATCAACCTGGTTATTACCACTTATGAACTGGGAGATGATTGGAGGACTTAAGTTATTGGTTAATTCACCTAGAACTTTGTAATCTATAATCTTATGAGAACAACAACGTGTGCATGAGCAGGAATGAATTGGGGCTCCTTCCATCCTCAACTTACGGCAGAGTCCTGCACAGGTCCATTTTTGGAGACCCGAACCCGCCCGCACCCACGCAGTACAGCACCACACCCGCTCCCTTAACCCGGGATTATATCAAAGTTAAATCCACACTCGCCAGGACCCGTTAAAATTCCACTCGTTACCCGCCTGTGCCCGTGATAAATCACACACAAATTAAAAGCATTCTAACTAGAGCATCCATCAGAATACGAAATGAAAAGTTACGACTTTAATTTCATTCCGTGATTGTAATTCTTAAATGGTTACACTTCCTTCAGTATGAATACGAATTCACAGACACGACTTTACTGTCAAAAATACAACATCACTTCGCAGGCATTATTTACAGAGCAGAAGAAACATTGATTGGGATGCTTACGTTTCTACTGTACACAGCACGGACTGAACCAGGACTAAACCAGGACTAACCTAGGACCGATTCCAGGACTGAACCAGGAGGACTAAACCAGAGCTGGAGGTGTGCCAAAACCAGAACCCTGGAGGTGTGCCTGTATAGACTATCGGGTGACCGCAAAAGGACCAGTGCAGAGCTCCACGCCCCACGAAGACAAGTGCAGCTGTCTCCCGATCTCGCTTTGCGGACACCCTGCTCCACTGGCTCGGGGTTCTCTCTCCCTCTTAAGTCCAAGATTATTTTTATTTTATTTATTTATTCAATATTTTACCAGGTAAATCAGCTGAGAACACCTTCTCATTTACAATTGACGACCTGGGCAAGAGGCAGTATAAAACAAAAGCACAAACAGAAAACACTCACACATAAGCTATAACGTGAAACAGTGAATAGAGATATAAGACAGGGAAACAGTTGCGGATTAAAGATATAAAAGTGATAAAAACATGTGCAATTAGTTCTAGTGTAGTCCTGGTTTAGTCCTGATTTAGTCCTGACCCACCCGTGTGAAATCAGTACCCGCCTGCATACCCGCCCGTAACATTTCAGAACATTAAAACTTGCCCATATCACCAACTATTTGCCCATACCTGGTGCAGGACTCTGACCTACGGTACCACCACCACAATCTCTAACTTTTTACTTAAAGGTGCAGTATTTTATTTTGGATGGGGATCCATTACCTGCTCTGGATATGTCATTGCTCTGTCTGGAATATTCCACAGTATGACATTAAACAGCTCTACTTTCCATTTATTCAATTACAGCTGGTTTTATACCTCCAAAATACCTAAAAAAAACAGGCATCCTGACTGCAAGCAGGGTCGCCTCTCCACAGATCTGACCTGTAACTTGGCCTAGTTTGGTCTCCATGAAAACAAAAAGGTTTGATGCCATACTGTGAAACATTCCAGGCAAAGCAATCGCATCTCCATGGAGGAAAAGCATTTTATGGACCCTCTACCAGAAAAGTTACACAATGCACTTTGAAAACATCACCAGTAATCAATCAGATACGGGTAGAAATCTATTTGCATACTTTCTCTGACAGAGTAATACATTTTCCCCAATCTCCCTGTTTCTACTTGCTTTTCCAGATCGCAGTATTGATCACAAATGGGCGTTCTGAGGATCAGGTTGAGTTGGCTGCGCGGGAGGTTGCTGACAGTGGCATTTCTCTGTTTGCGGTCGGTGAGTGTGGGACATTGTGTATTCTGCCTCGCTCCTCTGTGGCTCTGAGTCTGATTCTATCGCCAGTGTTTGCTCTGAGAAATTCACATCTTTTGCATTTAGATTCATAGGATTCTGTGTGGGGATTTACATGGGAGTGTCCAGGTTATACTAATACATAGAACACACGAAGGTTCTGTGTCTATGAAAGCGGTTTTTGAGATATGCATATGATTTTTGTGTTTGAATTCTGGTATAAACAGCTACTAAGTATGTATTACGCACTAAGACGTGGGGAGGATGGTTAAAAATTATATTTAAATAATTCTTTATGAATAATAATAAAAGATTCCAAAAAATAGCGAAACAACAATTCTAGTAGTTAGGAACAATGCATGCATTTTATTGTTTTTATTTATTTTATTTTTTTAATTGAATGTTATCCTAAAATAAAGTACACAAACGTGCATCCTCTAGAGGTACAGCAGACTTACCTGTAGCAGGTCGGGTAGATGAAAGAGTATTTTTTGTAGATGAAAGAGTATGTTTTAATAGTTTTTGCAATATTTACATCATTTGATAGGTTAAAAGCTCTAAATAAAAATTAGATTCACACAACACCAGTTACTTGGCAGTGTGTGAATAAAAGTTGAAAATCACAGAGAGCAAAGTAGTGCTGAATCGTAAAACATATTGATGACATAGATAGGGGGTTTCCATTGACTATACAGAATTCCACCCATATACTGTAAATCAGACTAAATCTTTGCACAAATTGGCAGTATGAACCTTTCTTTAAGTGTTACGTTACATAAATTAATATTTGTATAATTATAACTATTGCGTAAATAGACAGGCAGCTGCTCTTGTTTACAGGGTAGTTGCTAGGTAACAGTTCTGGAATTACTGTAAATCTTCGTGTCACACCTGCTGCCCATGTCCAACAAGGAAGTAAACTTAACAAAACAAAAAAACAGACTAGGTCTAGATATTGAACTTGGATAGATATTTAACATTTTATGTCCTAGTAAACAGATTTAAAATTACTGGTTCATTGCCATTAGACTTGAGCCAGCCTATTTCACTTCCACAACTCACAGATGCCACACACACACACACACACACAATGATACACATGGACCCACACGCACACTAACAACTGGGTAAGACACTCCCCTTTCATCCATGAGTGAGATTGATTAGTGGCTGCTCCATAGGTACTGCAGCTACCTGGAGCTCCTGCCCAGAAATAGGGCACAATGCACTTTTTGTGAAATCAAACTGCTTGTGGTCGGCTGACAGGGCATCGACATCTTTCATAAAGTTTGGATTTTGTATGGATTCTTTTGTATTTGTACAAAACAATATTTTACAATATTACATTTTTTTTTTTACATTTTTAATCATCTAAAAATTAGCTTTGTAAAAGTTAGTCTAGCCCTGCTCTCATTGGTCACAACTGCATGTTTCTGACATCACACATTCTGAGGTGTAAGGTCAGTATTCAGGAAGTAATGCAGAAGTAAATATTTTTTTTTTTTTTTTTGCGGTAATTAAAGTTACAGTTAGCAGAAGTAATTTCAAAAGCCTTATGCCTTATTGTTTTTGAAGTTTGGGTTAGTAGATAATTAATTTAGTGCACTGTTACTCCTAATCAGTCACACAGTGTGGCTGAGGACTTGGAGGACCACAATCCGATGCCTAAGAAGAGAGGTTCATTGAAGGTGGCGTTGAATTTGTGAAGCAGGGTCAGCTCCTCTCCAGAGACCGTGTAAAATGTTACAGATCCACCGGGACAGTCCACGTACACAGCTACTTTTCCTGCAGATGACACAGAAGAGAGAGGCAGGGGGTTGCCACTCTTGTTATGGCTGATGGAATAGGGCCCATCAGAGCAAATGAGGCACCAGGACTTTGCATTGAGTCCAAAAACGCAGTCATTACTTGCTCCTCTCCGCCTTATTCCTTCATTACAGACCGACACATCGACCCAGCCGCTCCACTCTAACTCACAGTAACATCGGCCACTCAGGCGCTGGCAGCACAGCACCTGGGGACAGCAGTCAAATCTGTCTGACTGATCGGGGTAGGACTGTTCTTCCTCTACTCTGAATATGCTCTTCTGGTTGTCAGACATTTTGAGCTTTTAGTTAACAGTAGTTGGATCCAGTATGAACTGGCATGAGTCTGAAAAAGAACATAAAGTTAGCATGTCAAAATCAATTTCAGTCTGTCACTATAACAATTTGTCCCCAATGGACAAATTCACCTATCCATCTGATGTGAGCCAGGCTACAATTCAAGCACAAAGAGCAAACTCGAGGTTTTTGTGGAAGCCCAAGGCAAAGCTCCCAAGCAAGCCGAAGCAAACATGGCAATGTCAACTGACAATAGACAACGTGCAATGTCTTCACAACGGTCTTAAGTTTTTCATAAACGTCAAAAATAACTTTCCGTAACTTGAATTATAATGATAAGACAGCATCCACTAATCAAGTTCAAAAGCTCAAACAAAGCTTGTGATGTTTTGTATAGTTTTTAAACCTAATTAATCTTGAACTGACATTAAACCTATGTGATCTTAAGGTGTAAATTCTGGGTTGTTAAGAGTGAAAGATGGGTTACTGAATAGCAAATGTGCACAAAAAATATTGATAATAATAGGTTTGTATGAACACTGTAATCATTTACCCTCCAGTGGAATAAATATAACTTACATTTTTTGAGTCCTGATTTTATAAATCTTGCTCCACCAGGCTCCACTCTGAAATGAGAACATACCCAGAGAAACGGTTTGATGCTTTAAATGAAACTAGTTTGTCTTAAACGCCTATGAGAGTCTATGTCTTTTACCTGAGCGTTGCAACTCTTTTTGTCAATAGTTGTTTTCCAGTTTCACAAAGATGGTTATAGCTCAAATCCAACATTTTTAATTTGTGAGGGTTGGAGTCCAGGGCAGAGACCAAAGAAGAACTGCTCTTTTCTGTCATCATACAGCCAGATAATCTGAACGATAACATAATAATTTAAAATATTAGTCGACTCTATCAAAAAAGTTCAGTCCACTCTAAGAACCAACAATATTTGTCACTCAATAAATCTGTCTAATCTAATCTAATCTGTTTTGTCTTTGTTTAGTGACTAACCCAAGGTTTTCCAAATTACACTGTGGGTTCCTCAGTCCCTCAGAGAGCAGTCTGATGCCAGAATCCATCAGGTTGTTGTTGGCGAGGTCCAGCTGCACAAGGCTCAGAGAAGGAGAGGTCAGAAGAGAGGCTAGGACTTCACAGCTCCTCTCAGAGAGACTGCAGTTGCATAGACTAAAAAAAGAGGACAATTTTCTATTAACAAAACACAAATTTAGAAATCTTTACCATACAAACTTACCAAAGAACCTCTAGAGGACAGGGTGAGGTCTTCAGTCCCTGAAACAGTAACTTCACCATTGGAACCTTCAGAACATTGTTACTGAGGTCTAACTCTTTTAAACTGGAGGATGTGCTGAGAATGGAGGACAGAGAGGAACAGCCTCTCTCTGACAGTGAACACACGTTCACTCTGAGGAGAAGAAGAAATGTGATAATGATCATATAATACTAAAAGTATCATTTTCTCTATATTAGGATGTGCTCACATAGCTTTCGTGCTGACTTTAACCACTGGCAGCAGACGCAGAAGCACCTCCTTCTGAGGCAGAGTATCTTCCTCAGATCAAACTCCTCCAGGTCTTTGTTAGAGGACAGCAGGATGAAGGCCAGAGCTGACCACTCATTAGATGAGAGCTTCTGAGCACACAGACTCCCAGAGGTCATCTGCTGTTGGATCTGCTCCACCAGAGAGCTGTCCTTCAGCTCATTCAGACAGTGGAACAGATTAATACTTCTCTCTGTATTACAACTCTCTGAGACTTTTTGCTTGATGTAGTCAATGATTTGATTTTGGATGTCTCTGGTATCTTGATTTTGTTTGAGAAACCCTCGGAGAAGGCTTTGATTGGTTGGCAGAGACAGCCCCAGGAGGAAGCGTAGGAACAGGTCCAGGTGACCATTTGGACTCTGTAAGGCCAGATCCACTGCAGAGTGGTAGAAGTGCATCTGTGATGATCCAGCCTTCTCTGATGGGAGCACACTAACTCCGGTCTCACTAAATGTGACGTGAACATGAAGAGCAGCCAGAAACTCCTGCACACTTAGATGGATAAAGCAATAGACCCTGTCCTGGTACAGGCCTCTGTCTTCTTTAGAGATCTGAGTGAAGACACCTGAATCAACAGCTGCCTCTTCAACATCAATGCCACACTCTGTCAGATCTGATTGGTAAAAAATCAGGTTTCCTTTCTGCAGCTGCTCAAATGCAAGTTTGGCCAAACACTTAATCATACTTATGCTCTTCTGACTCCAGTGAGGATCTGCCTCAGCTTTGTTTTCATATTTAACATTTTTTATTTTAACCTGAACAACCAGAAAGTGGATGTACATCTCTGTTAAGGTTTTGGGCAGCAGCACTTCATGACGTGTTTTCATAATATCATCCACAACAGTGGCAGTGATCCAGCAGAACACAGGAATGCTGCACATGATGCGGAGGCTTCTCGACAGGTGAATGTGATCGATAATGGCAGAGGCCTGCCTTTTCCCTGGAAACCTCTTCCTGAAATACTGCTCCTTCTGAGGGTCAGTGAAGCCTCGCACCTCTGTTACCCTGGAGACGCACTCAGACGGGATCTGATTGGCCGCTGCGGGACGCGTGGTTATCCAGAGGTGAGCGGAGGGAAGCAGGCTTCCCCTGATGAGGTTCACCAGGAGCACATCAACACTTGCAGACTTGTCAGCATCAACAATCACATAGGTTTTGAAGTCAAGAGGGATTCGAAACTCATCCAAGCCATCGAGGATGAGCACAGCCTTAAAATCTTCAAAACTGGTAATGGCTGCTTCTCTGGTTTCAGGAAAGAAGTGGTGAATGAGTTGCATCAGACTCATGCTTCTGTCTCTGAGCACATTGAGCTCTCTGAAAGTGAACAGGAACAAAAGCTGTATGTCCTGGTTGGCTCTGCCTTCAGCCCAATCCAGACTGAACTTCTGAGTCAAAACAGTTTTCCCAATGCCAGCCACGCCCTTCGTCAGCACTGTTCTGATTGGTCCATGTCTGTGGGCATCAGAAGTAAAAATCTCTTGACATGTGATGGTTTCTTCAGCTTTGTTCCTTGGGGCAGCTTCGATTTGTATGATGTCATGTTTGTTGTTGTAGTCAGAGACATCTCCTTCAGTGATATAGAGCTCTGTGTAGATTTCATTCAGATGACATGCTTTTCCTGCTTTAGGAATACCCTCAGACAGACATGTGAACTTCTGTTGGAGTCTTGCTTTCAGTCTATTACTACAGAATTCACCAGTAGGACCACAGAACACTGTAAAGGACAACAACTTGTCACATGTAGGGACAATAATATTTTAAACAAATTTTGATTTTTAATTGACTCAAATCTTTTTGCATGTGGGAATCTTACCCGTTTGGAAATAATCAGCCAACTGTTCACCCTTGGTCTCTCTCAGGACATTTGCTATTAGCTTTAGGATTGACTCATCAAATTTTCTCTCTCTCTGGCCCTCAGTCATTTGGCTTAGTTGAGGAGCCTTAAAACTGAGAGCTTTGTGGTAGTTTCTCAGCTCATTTTTAATCTTTGATACAAGTTTATCTTCAAACCACTGAGACTGAAAACAAAAACGAGGATGATTTTTCTGAATAACCACACAAACATATCAGTGCAGTTACAGACCTGTAAAGCACCGTCCAGCTCAGTCTGTATATCTGCTTTAGGATCCTGGTGCTCTTCACTGTGAAAAAAAGGGAAAATACCAAACTGAAGAAGAATCAGGGTTATGTGCAAATGATCTGAGCTTCATTGGTTTGAACTTACAGTGGATCAGATGGTCTTTTAAGTATTTTCGTAGGTAATTCACTGCCAAATGCAGGCGCATGCGGTGGGGGATGGAACCTAGAAACAAAGACTATTTTACAATTTACCGAATAACAGCACTGTTTCATAAACTTTTCTAACTTCGTAACTGTGATGGTGGTGGTGGTGGTGTTAGAACTTGTTAGAAGTTTATGATGGCTCTAAACAAGATAGTGGTGACCCAAAATGTTGCGAGATCAGAAATTATGAA